TGTTTGCATAATTAAAAATTGGGATAGAATAAATGATATATACATTAAAACAATATGCTGTTGATGCAATAAATGATACGATTTTGCCATGGAGCCATCAGATTGCTTAATTTATGGAGTCATCCATAGTTATTTACAAATAGTACATTGACACATGTCCTGCAATAAATATACATTGGATACGTGTTAGTACATAAAATTATGGATGACTACATTAATGGAGTCATCCAATTGCTCCATAGAACTTTTTATAAACATATTTCATAGAACAATCTGCCATTAGAATTGAATTCTTAAGGCATGATTGGTCTACTGGAATGGAATTTGATAGGATGTAATGACTTGAAGAATGAAATGATTATATGAAATGATGAAAAAGTATTTCCATTGATATGTTTGGTATGGAGAAGAAATAAGGCCCGAAGCGAAGATGTCACCGGTAAGAACAAAGTAAGGAATTCTTCTCCAATGGGTATGGAATGACATTATCATCATTTATCATTATTTTTACAAAAATATTATTAATATTGAGTTTATTTTCTTATTTATGATAATAATAATTTATTATAAAAAATATACTATATTTTAACAAATATAACTATTTAAATATATTTTTGTATTTTTACACTCATCTTATATAATAAATAAGCACAATTGTATTTATATACATATTAACTAATACAAATATATTATTAGAATAAACCCCTAGAAGCATATGTGGTCGGATGTTATTTTTTTAATATAATTCAATTTATGAATAAATATATAATATATATATACATATTTATATAAAAAATAAAAAAATATCTATCTATACTATGTATAAATGCATTTTTTGTGAATTTTATTTTTAGATAAGTGTTTAACGCTTACCATTTTGACAATAGGATATATAACAAATAAAAAAGATAGGACAACCCACATGACACAAATGTATATTTCTTATTGACCACACACTCATTCTATGGGACATAACACTAGCTAGATAACCATCGCCGGAGAAAAAAGCCAACAATGCCACTCATCAAACTTCTTCCCCTTCACCGCCACAGCCTCTCCCTTCTCACCCCTTCACACCGCCCGCCGTCAAGTTTCTTAGTTTCACCGGCCGATCTGAAGCTCAAAACAAACACGTCGAAGAAAAGGTTCGGAACCAACCAAAGGCTGAGATCATATTCTCCAGTTCCGATTTCTGCCACGTCAGCACCGCTTGATCTGACAGAGGATAACATCAAGCAGGTCTTGGACGATGCTAGAACCGAGGCAAGCTTTTCTTATGTTGTTCTTAGAAAATTATGATATGCAGTTTAGTTGGAAAGTTAAGAGCATTGTGATTGAATGACCTTCGAATTTTTTTCGAAACTTGCAGTTGGCGCAGCTCTTTGACGCGTCTGTTAACATAACAGGTGAACTTATTTGCAATTTAGATGTGATGATTCGGCTCCTTAAACGTTTTTGTCTGTGTGCTAATGTGGAGAAGAGAATGTTAGAACAGGAAAAGCAGAGCTTGTTGAGTTAGATGGACCGTATGTGAAGATCAGCCTCAGCGGCCGCTTTTGGCATAAACGTTCAACGGTTTTGGCCAGACTTGGGAACTACTTGAAGCAGAGAATACCAGTAAGTTGCTCTAAAATAAAACCTTCTTTATATATCACTTCCTGTCAAGAACTTTATTAATATGCTCCATACACAGCATTCTAATAGTTGTTGATTGTTCTAGGAAATCTTGGAGGTCGATATCGAGGATGAGAAGCAATTGGACGACAGCCCAGAAAACTTCTGATACACGATTTCTCGTGCTGTCTTTTTGCTATCCTATTTTTAGCCGGCACCTTGTTTAGTACTATTGAGCATGAGTACTCGGATCAAATTGCTACATTTAGTTACTGTTTGAAGCCATGTATGCTATTCATTGCAATGTAATGGTGCTTGTTGACAAATAGCACAATTCGCATTCAAATATATTGTTTGTAGCAGACGACAAGCTTTGGAAATTGTATTATCACAACTGCATGAACGTTGAAAGCTAATCGAACATGTACCTTCCAAAACGAAAAGATAGGAAAGAAAGTGAACTTATCATATATGCTTAAGTTTTAATAACTAGCATCGTTCAGTAGGACAAGATTGTGATCGAAACCCGCAACAGCTTGCAAAACTTCACGACCCTCCAATTGTTCGATTAGCATAGGTTCGGGTTCATCAATAGAGCTACCCAATCCCAGCCGTCCATTCCTACCGCAACCCCAAGACCAAACTTCACCCTTACCTGTGACAGCTAATGAATGCACACGCCCACCAGAGACAGATGTGGGGCCCACACCATCGAGACCAGCAACTGCCAATGGAATATTTTCGGAACCTTCTCTCCCGAGCTGAAAACTTTGATTCCATCCCCATGTGACAACGTTGTTTGTTCCATCTTCTGACAAAATATTCGTGCAAATTGCTAATGAATGTCCGAGTCCTGATGCTATGCGGATGGGTCGGGGGCCTGAAAATTTCATGTCGACTGCATGAAATCCTAAATCGTCTTTGGCTCTACCTAATTGGCCGTACACATTGCTCCCGCTACTCAGAAGAGTACCGTCGCCTGAAAAATTAAATATGAATTAGCTTATTTTGATTTGCAGATAGTTACAAAATTTGTCAGATAAGTTTTAATGATAAAAAAAAATGGTTGAAGGATGTAATGGCAAAGTGTTGGATCAAAGGTTTTGGGTTATTTATAATTTAGAAAATTTAAAGAGATACGTGTTAACAAAATTCATGAAATTATCGATTTCAGGTAGCTCCACAAACGGGATGAGCGAAATGTAAGACACTTGTGTTAACCTCAAGCATGCATTTCTGCAAAATGTCTAGTTAGTTTGGTTCTTTAGTAAATATTATATATGATAATCAATCACATGATATTTCATACTAATGGATGGTGCTGGCTTACTGCACAATACTAAGGAATGATCAAGCCCACAAGCCACATCTATCACATCAACATCATGCAGTTCTTCAATTTGAGTAGGCTCCCAGATAATAGGCATGTCCTTCTCCTTCTCTATTGCTTCTAGAACCAATTGCTCAGCTGCCTCAATCATTACGTTCGAGTTTTCGCATGATGATGACTTGACTTTACCAGCAATAGAATGAGAATCTAGTGGGGATGCCTCGAAAGTTTTACCAATCTTCCCTAATCTGCCATCCGAATAATATCCCCAGCCAAACAGATTCCCATCTTTACTCAGAGCAAGAGCATGTCCCCACCCCAGTGAAACCTGACCAATCACAAATAAAAATCTTAAATTTAATTCAAACAGTATGAAAGTTTACACCAACTGTTTCTTTTACTTCGAGCATTCACGTTACAGTATGAAATCCTACAAAAATTAATATTTCTACCTTAAACATGATATATGAGGACCACCTTAACTATCTCGTGTCCAAGAAGTGCTTCGACTCTAGAAGGTGAAACAGCCTCAGTCATGTCTTTTCCGAGACCGAGTTGCCCACGTTTGGACTTTCCCCACACCCACAAAGTACCGTCATCTCCAGTTGCAGCAGATACAACACCAGATGCAAATGTAGCTGCAACCTTCACTTGATCCAATCCTTCTACTTTCTGTGGTTCATTCCACTGTTCTCTAGATATCAAGAATGAAATTTTAATGACTTAGATGATTAACAGTAAGTCACAACATTTGGTAATGCATTACTTAAAGGGACATAAAAGAAACAACTTCGAGCCTAAAGATTGAAACCTTTTAAGATAAATCAGACAGAACTTTCTCTGTAGCTCAAAGGGCCTAGAGTTCAACTGCAGCCAAGAATAGCCTAAAGATTGAACCTTTTAAGATAACACAGACAGAGCTTTCTCTGTAGATCAAAGGGCCCAGAGTTCAACTGCAGCCAAGAATAGCCTCACAAGCTAAATTATTTTGTCAACGGGCAGGCCTAAATGTCAGGCAACCATACTTTTTCAACAAATTTGCACACTTTCAAACTGAAATGCCATACTCTAAAAAACAACACAAACAAACGCATGATATTTCATAGTTTAAGTATACATTTTTGTTAGAAAAAGTACCGCCTAACAGATAGTTCACCTCATACAAGAATTTGTGTTTCTCAATAGCATAAAAGCCATTTATGCTTATGATGATGGATAACAGTAGATGTCCTTAGAAACTAAAATCCAAGATAATTTATGAATAAAGGATGAATTTTTTTCAATATCTGCTGAAAAATGTGAAGCCGCATCATCAACAAATATATCCACATATATCACATGTAACCTGAATCTCCAATCAGGAGCTAAAAAAACATAGGCAAATGGAAAAGGGAAAAAAGGACCTAGGAGAAAGCGGACCACGACCAAGCTGCAATTCGCTGTTACGGCCCCAGGCCCAGACTTGGCCCTGTGAAGTGACGGCAAGGGAGTGGTAGTGGCCGGCGGTGACGCCGCAAACGTCCGGCGGTAGGGTCGTGATAGGAGTGGGTTCATAGGCGTCGAAGCCCAAACCTATGGAAGAAGCCAAGCCCAGTGCACCCTGGGACCCGTCACCGAAGCTCATCACGGTCGTTTTGGCGGACATCCAACGCCGGCCCAGCCCGATTAAGAAGCCCGATTGGGATCCGTTTCTTGCGTTGAGGGATCGTAGCATCGTGAACTATGTGCTTGCGATATGCCATTGAAGGTGGGATTAAAATATATTCAATGAAATTATATATACCCAAATCTAAAACTTAATTTATATTAGTTCGAGATTTCAAAGATGAATTTTATAAGATAAAATTTACTGCATAAATAATTTCAATAATAATAATAATTTCAACTAATTAATTGTCTAGATTCCTTAATTTTGTAAGTACATTATTCTATTATATTTTATATCATATATCATATACGTAATATTTTGTTTGTACTTGTACATGTGCACAAGCTTGATTACTAGTATTATATAATAGTTAATAGTAATACTAACTAATAATAATTTACACTTAATGCTATATAAAAATTACATAAGTATACAAAAGTTATATATTTTTATTCAAACTCTTTATTCTAAAATTAATATTATATTTTTTAAATTATTATTCAAACTCTTTATTCTAAAATTAATATTATATTTTTTAAATTATTATATTGTATCTCAAGAAACAATTTTCTTTAAAAAAATTAGCTAATAGTCTAATAACATAGTCAAACCATCTTAAAAGATTATAAACAATCTCAAAGCTGGGCCGATGCTAAAATATTACGGACTCAAAGCAAGACATAAACACCTACTTGTTTTTGGAGTGTGGTGGACTAGTTGCCCAACCAGAAAAACACACATCAAAATGTACAGACAAAAATGTTCCANAAAATAGATAAGCTGACATCTTACACCAGGAAAAATATCTTGTGAGAACCAAAAATCCAAGAGGCTCCTCCCACAGATTATTCTATTCCATGTAGTTTTTTTCTCTAATGGCAACTATTCATGTGTATGAATATATTACACGAACCGAAAGCACGAAACTATTGTTTTATTCAATCAAAATCGTACACGAAAATCGTCCAGCAATCAACAGCAGACTCACACACTTCCTTAGCTCATTTTGTTGCTTATAAGGCCTTCAACCGACCCAATAAAAGCCAAAACCGTGCACACCAAGCCGAATATTCGTAGAGCTTGAAGGACTATCCAAATGCCCGTCCAAGCTCTCACTTTGTTCTGCACAAAATACATTTGCACGGGGAAATAAATCGCCAGAGGCCAAAAATTCAATGCTCCCAAAACTCCCAAGACTTCGTTGAAATACGGAAAAAGTATGGCGAGCCCAGTTGTCGACGCCACATAAGCAGTCCTAAAGCATAGCCGGAAAATGCTTAACTTGAAACGTGGCAGCATTGGGAGCTTCACTTCATACTCGTTGTTCAAAAATCCACTGTTCGGATTTTTTTCTTTGATCCTTCTCTCGGCTACTGCAAAAAGTGGCTGGCTGTATATCTACAAAAAGCAGACCGAAAAGTAGTCGAAACTTGTAAGGATCAAGTAAAATGAAATATTTTACNTCGAAAAAAAAAAAAAAAAAAATAGGAAAATTGAGTAATGAGAGATCTACCTGATATCCCCCCACAAGGTGAAGAATGATACATGCATTAGCAAAGTCGACAAGCCAATAGGGCTCGTAAAATCCGAAACCCGTCAACAGATTGCCCGGTGCTTGGTTACCAAAAGCTGCATACCCAAAAGACCCACAACAGATAAAGAAGAAGCTTGTGATAAGTATAGCGATAGTCGATGCCTTCTTCATTGTCTTGTTCTCGGCCGGTGGTGCCTTGAGAGTATCCTTCATTCACACATTTGTCGTTCATAATTTTTTTAAGTATATATAGAATTTTAGGCAAAAAATGCATTTTAAGCCCTTTTGGTTTAACGTTATAGCAGTTTTAGTCCTAATGTTATAACTTTTCGCCTTTTGGTCATGTGATTTAATATTTTACTGCAATTTCAGTCATCTGAGGACTGCAATTGCAACAAAATTTTAAATTACAGGACTGAAATTGAAATAAAATTTTAAATTGTAGGACTTAAATTGCTGATAAAAAATTCATCCCAAAAATATAAATTGGAAATTTGTTGCAATTTCAGTCCTTAAATTGCTGCAAAATATTAAATTACACGACCAATTGCTGCAAAATATTAAATTACACGACCAAAAGACGAAATGTTGGAATTTTGGGACAAAAATTGCTATGCCGTTGAATCAACACGACTCTAAATGCAATTTAGCAAGAATTTTATCTCAATAAATATCTAAATAATTAATGTAGAACAGAGCTCGAGATAGGTTCTAACTAACCTGAATATCCAAAAGAATTATGTTGTAGGTGAAAGCAAAAGCAATGTCTCCCACTGCTTGAGACGAGAGCCATATTTTCTGAGCGGCAGTGGCTGTAGATACTCCGCCAAAATCACCCCTGACCTCGCCATTCTCTGCATTCAACCGAAAGTTATCTTTAAAAACGAGAATTTTATTGCAGAAAATAAATTAAACGGAACCGAAAATATTAAAATAAACACCTAATACTTTGGCAAAGCCAAGAGCCAGCCCAATGAAAGTGTACGCAAAGGACATAATGGCTGCAATTATAGAGAGCCACTGCAAGTTGTGTAGGTCTGGTATCTGAGAGAATACAACCTGAACTGCCCCGAACAATAACATGAAAAAACTGCCTCCGTATTCACACGGAGCATCGTGCCCTTGCTCGTGATAACAATTCGATTTTAGAATTGCCCTATATATACCAACAAACCACAAACATAAATTACTTTAAACAAAATTACGAGGGTCAGTTTTCTCAGACTGGAAAGGAGTACTTAACATCAATTTCTTGCAATAACTAGTTTAACGAGTCTGCTCGTGTTTGGAGGCTTCAAAATAGCATTAGACATCGAGGAATTAAATACCTCATACTAATGGCAGATGTTATTGTATAAGCAATACTATAACCATAGTAGCTTTCTTGAACAAAAAATTCAGCCACCCACATACTCTTCTTTCCTGCCAAATAATAAAAAAGTAAATGTTCCCACAGAATGTGTATTCCCAAGTGTGTCAATTTTCCCACAGAATGTCAATGGCTACTGTAATTCTAACCACACCCCATTTCACCAGTTCTAATANCAATAAGTTACCTAAATAAGATCTAACAGCTTCGGCATAGGACCGATTTCTGATGTGGCCGGCTTCAGGGTGGGGATATCGGTAACAATCGCAGAGAAGATTAGAAGAAATAATTGTAATTACTCCAAACAGCACCATACAAAGCGGGCCCGCGACCCAGCCCAGCTGAGCCACACTCCATGCCAGTGAAAGCACACCCGAACCTATCACCCCTGTGATTATATGGGCAATTGCTGTCCAAACAGTCCCTTCACATTTCCAGACACAATTAATGTCAAAAGCCTCAAAACTTTCTAGACGAAATCGAAAAAAAAGAACTTCCCACATATGCACGAAATTATCGACCCAGACACATAATGTCAAAAGCCTCAAACTTTCTAGACGAAATCGATTTAGAACAAAAAATTGAGCTTCAATCGATTGGAAAAGCACATAGAAATAGAATTGATTCAAAACCTGTTCTCTCGAGGGAATCGTGAGAATCGGAGGATGAAGATGACGCAACATCAGCGAGCAGAGGATAGGTATTTTCATCGTTTACTTCAACTTCAACCATTGGTCTAAGGTAAGTCCACTGTGTTCGCTGGAAAAACAAAATGTTTAAGGCTCATAAAAGCACACGATTGTTTGTTAATGGATATAGCTTATACAGTATTGGATTTGTTCATTTTGATAAGAGGAAAGTTCACTTTTCAGGGATTATCTTTATTCAGGGGCGGCCCAAGGGTACAGAACAATGAAGAAACATCATGAGCTCTGATGGATGATGATTGATTGTATCATCATCCAACTGTAATGGGCCCATGCATGAAAAGAGACGAGACAACCAGTACAACTTCGTGAGTAGATATCCATTGTTTTTAATTGGATGCTTATTTTTTTATTTTTTATTTTTGGTACAAATTCGGATGCTTATTTACTTGCTACTGAATGTTGGTTTCACCGTTTTCTAACACAATATTAATTGAATTTCTATTGAAAAGAATCAATGGTTAAAAAAAAATAGCAAAGAATATTCAGTTGTACTGAATAAGTTTGAAAAGTAACAAATTTAACAATTCTTAGTAAATCTGTAGGGTAGTCGTCTGGCCCGACTCGTCGGGCTCGGGTTTTCGTGTTCTCGTACCGGTATTTTTCAGTATTTACGATATGATCCCGGTACAAATCGATACGACCGTACATCCGGTATTTTGTGTGTAATTGTACCGTATCAATGGCCGGTATCTGGTATTACTGACCAATACGGTACGTTATTTAAAACATTGGCGAGAACAACAGAGAGAGAGAATCATAACTAATAAATTGAACTTCCTGAATATTCTCAAGGTTGCTAACAAGATGGCTGCGGGTAGAGACTCTTAGGGTTGATAGCTGCTTACGAGAACTCTAATTTGATCCTTAGGGATGCAGCAGGTAAGATAAAGAAATAGACGGTCAAGATCAATTTAGATCATGTGGGCTGCCAAAAAAACTGGGCTCGGGCCAAAGAATTGGACCTGAGAAATATTTAAATATTGAGCCATCAATAAAATATCTCATTTGGGCCACAATACCAACATTCTCCACCTTGGCCCAAAGTCGGTTCACAAGACTCGGGTTGACAGGGGTCATCATCGCCTTACCTTACCGTACCTGCACTCAAACACAAAGTTAGAGCAAACATGTAGCAAACACAAAGTCGGCTACCTCACACAAAGTTCACATAACACATATCAATCGCACGTATCAAAGATCAAAATTTTCAAGAAACATGACATCCATTTAGAATCCACTAAGAACCACTTTCTTAGGTTACCAACATAAGACCACATATTATTAACATGCAAGGACTTCACTTTATTTTCCACAATATTCATGCATTGCAAAGATTGTCATGTTTAGAAGCATATAGATCCCTATCTCTTCTACATCTATCTCTAGCCGAATGATAGTCATGCAAATCACAAAGATCAGATTTAGGCAAATTTTCAACAATTTACTCATGCACAACAGCATTATCAACATGATTATCAAGCACATTTATAGATAGATTGTCGGAAATAGAGTTCTCATCAGGCATAATAGGCACATTCTGCACATCATCATACAAAAGACACGAACCAGGTATAAGCTCCACCTTGCTCGGAGCAACGACAAGTTCAAAAACAGGTAAAGGAGCAGATACACAAGGAAATTCAAACTCATTGAAAATCACATCCCGACAAATTAACACCTTAAAGCCAAGTTCTCTCCTCAACCACAAACGATAACCATTAACCCCATCATGATAGCCAAGGAAAACACATTTCACACGCTTCGGTTCAAGGTTATCATCTTTTTTATTAACAAAAGCAGAACATCCAAATACTCTCAAGTTCGAATAATCAATTTGAGTACCAGACCACACAAATTCTGGATATTTACCATTCAAAGGCACAGAAGGAGAAAATTAATCACATGACATGCAGTCAAAATAGCCTCACCCCAAAACTACTTAGAAAAACCAGAACATGTAAGCATACATTTCACTCTTTCAATCAAAATTTTATTCATACGCTCAGCAACACCATTCTGCTGAACCATGTAGGACACAATTCTATGTCTTTGAATACCAGACTTACCACACAAATTATCAAACAATTTGTAGCAAAAATAAAAACCACTATCGATCCTCAAAACTCAAATTTTCTTGCATGTTTGATTCTCAATTAAGGTTTTCCAGTTTTTGAACTTCTCAAACACATCAGTTTTGTTTTTCAAAAACAACACCCAAACCTTTCCTGAAAAATCATCAATCACAGAAAAAAAATATCGATTTCCATCATGAGTCGGCACACTAACCGGGCCCCAAATATCAGCATGCACATACTCAAGTAATTCAGAAGAAACAGGAAAACGCACTCTTGATTGTTTGCCAAGCACATAGGATTCACAAAATGGCACACAAGACAATTTGTCACAACCAAAAGAGCCATTTTTATGCAAAATCTAAGACCCCTAGAACTCAGGTGACTTAAACGCTTATGCCACAAATCAGTTTTGTCACCAAAAACATCATTCACAGGGTTTGCATACAAGATTCAGCAATGCAAACATACAAGTTCAACTTTTTAACAGCTTTCAAGATCACCAAAGAACCCTTCAAAATTTTCATAACATCATTTCCCCATTTACCCTCTAAACTATCATCTTCTAAAGATGCACATGATATCAAATTATGATACAAATCAGGGACATGCCTCACATTCTTCAAGGTTAACACAAAACCAGAATCAAATCTCAAGCAAATATCACCAAGACCAGCAACTTCACACGATTTCTCATTAGCCACAGAAACAAATCCATGCTTCACATCTTTGTAGTTCGAAAACAAGTTTTTGAAAGAAGACATATGAAACGAGCATGCAGAATCCACAAGCCATTCAGTTTCACAAAGAGAACGGGAATGCACAGGATTCACATTATCATGCATTTCACTCACATAAAATACATCACCAAGGTTTTCACTACTAGATGCCATATTCGCAAGATCATTATGCTTGTTTTGATTGGGATTAGGCAAATCATTCTTGTAATGACCAATTTCACCACAATTATAACACTTACGATTTTTCGGTCGAGACTTCAACTTACTTTTCCACGTACCCTTCTTTTTGCCAAAATTTTGATCTGCCAGAGGTTTTTTTTTCATTCTGAAAATGATTTTGAGGCCTTTTCCCCTCACAAAATTAACCTCGCCGACATTCTCATTCCCCCTGCTGGTTTTCAAATCCAGCTCTTTTTTTTTCAAACCATTCACAACAGTTTCAACATTCACATTATCTCTACCATACTTAATAGCATATTTCACATCACCATAAGAATCAAGTATAGCATTCAAGAGCACAATAAGGGTATAATCATCAATATGCTTATCACCAGTATGCTTAATATCCTGAACAAGTTTGGTAAACACATCCAAATTATCATCCATATCTTTGGACAAATCAATTGTGAAGTGGAAAAATTTTTCAAGCAAGAACAACTTATTTGGCAAAGAAGTTTCAATATATAGTTCCTCTAATTTTTCCCAAAGTTCTTTAGCAGAGTCCAATTTACCAACTTTTTTTCACACAGAGTCAGATAAGTTCAAAATAATCAAAGAATAAGCAAACTCATCAATTTTGGCCTTTTTCTCGGCTGACACATTCGCAGAATGAGTAAGGTCAATAGCTCTAAACACTTTTTGTTGCAAGTGGAGAAGGTGTCTTCCACTCGCTGTTAAGTTGGACGGAATGGGGAAACCGTGCAACAATTACTTAAACATAAGGGGGTCTAGTGCATTTTTTAAAACACAGTGTAAAAACGCGCACATTTCGTTAAACACGTAGGGGGCGCCACGTATTTTACCTGATTAAAATACTCCTTTACATATATTTTCCACCACTGTTCGGTTTATATTTTAGGTTCTTTTAGTCCTCTCGAGCAAATTAAATACAACCATCAAACACTACTCGTATTTGCAGCGACTGATTTGGACATTTTTTTCCCTAAGCCTGTTTGTTGCATTGGAGGCAAAGATTAGTTTAAACTTAATCTAATCTTGCCCCTTTTCGGAGGTGAATTATTATTATTATTATTTTTTATTTATTTATTTTTTTTTTTTTTGAGGAGCNTTTTTTTTTTTTTTATCTATTTTGGTTTAATTGTTCTCTGTCTAGTGAAATTTCGGTGTAATCCGACGTCCATTCGTCGGAGTGATCTATCATTTGACTTGTCTTGTCAATGTGGCTATACTCACAGAATTTAGCTCAATCGGAGTTCATTTACCCATTGAATTTTCCAATAAAAGTTTCTATGCACTGTAATCCCATATTTGACCGGTGTGAAATGTTAGCATGCAATGTCACCAAATTATTCTAAGATAGTAATTAGTGTACCTATTTTTAATGATTCTTTTTAACTTATTGTAGCGAATTTTTTATTTATAAAGTCTAAGTTCGCATATCTTTTTGGGAAAGTGACCAACTTGTGTATATTTTCTGAGTGTTCGCTACAATAGTATAACTAAAGTATGCTTAATTAGGACAAGTCCGACTAATTGGTATTCTTAGGATTAGCCCACGGACGAGAACTTGAAATTCGACTTGATAATATATTTTGAAAGCATAGCATGATCATGGATGTTTAGGTAGCTAGGACTTTTTTCCCCTTAATTTCTCATTTAAAGTTGCAACCTGCCAAATGTTAAAGTAGGGCTGAGCATGAAACTCGGAGAATTCCAAATCGTACCGAAAACCGAATTAAAATCACTCCGAACTGAAAAATATCCGTTGACCGTTTGACTTTCTCCAAACCGAACCGAACCGGAAAAATAATTGGTACGATTCTGGAGATTTCATAAATATCCGTACCGAGAACCGAACCGAACCGAAGAACCGAAAATTAAGAACCGAATTATAAAAATAGATGCGTGTTATTAATATATTTTATATCAACTTTGATCCTATATAATTTGAGAATTTTTAAAATGCAAATAAAATATAGTAATAACAACTAAGATTCACTTATATTTCATGTTTAGTAATACTTGATCTACAATTGAATTTCTCATGTTTAAAAAAAATAAATGGAATGAAAGGTTAAAGATTTTTTTAAAAAAAAAAAAATTAAGCTTTACTTAAAGTTGTCGATACTTACCCTTAGTTTATCTTATAATTAACATGGTATGGAAGGTTAAATAAATATTACTTTAATTTTTTATAAAACTGTATTATATTTTGTTTGAATTTAAATTTTCAATGTTAGTTGAATTTAGTCTTCATTAAAATTTAGGGTTACTTCTAAAGTTGATTTAAAAATAAATTCTTTAGTATGATGAAGTATTGATGAATGTTGGAAAAAAAAAACATATAAAAAATAAAATATAACTAGGTGGTCATTCAAAAAAATTTAAAAAATGATAAGAAATCTCCGAATAATCGAACCGAACCAAACCGAGTCGAACCGTTCCGATAGTCCCGAAAACCAAACCAAACCGAACCGAACCGAAAAATAAAAATCTTCGAACCTGACCGAACTGATTTTTTGGTACGGTTCTGGAGATCGAATTTTAGTGATCTCTGAACTTCGGTTCGGTTCTGAAGATTTATCAATCTCCGAACCGTACCGACCCATGCTCACCCCTATGTTAAAGTCCTTGGTTCATATTCCACCTTTGTTTTTTATTCCATACTTTTTGTAGAATATGACGAATTTTCACCATATCAGTGTTTTAGACGCATGAATCATTGACGACAAATATTTTTTTTGGCAAAAACACTTATTTCTATCATTTAATTTGCTAGCTAGTTCGTCACTAATTGACTATTCTAACGACAAATATTTCAACAGGTGAAGTATGAGTGAAAAATTCAAATACAAATTGCATATTCGAATGAAAATTCTTGCAATACTAACCCATTGAAAAAATAGTTGTTGGAATCACTAAATTTCTTTTAGAAATCTAGGGGAAATATAATTTTGATGGAATATTATAGTGTTGATCTCTAGTTGGAATTTAGTTATACCAATGAAATATCCATTAGAGTTTTTATTATAATATTTAACTATTGAATTTTTCATATAATTTTTTTAGTGAAGTTATAAGTTTTTAAAGCATAAAGGGAAGTCATGCTCCCATACAAACGGAGAAGAGCGTGAAGAATCAAAATGAACAGAGCTACACCATCCGAATATAATGTTAGATTATAATGTTAGTACCACCATCCGAAGAAGTCGATGTATGCTTTCTGTTTATTGATTTTATTCAAACCAATATGAAATTGGTAGTAATTTTATCATTTTTACTGCTATCTATAGTTTAGATTTAATTAATAATTAGCCTTCTCTAGCCTATAAATACATATTTGCAACTTGCACAATACTGATCATGACTTCACACTTCAATTTTTTGATGATATCACAAATTTGATTTGAATGTCTCATTACAAAATAAGAACAAAATTAATCAATACAATACACACTAACACACGTATATCAATATTCATCATCGACAACTTCTTCCATATCATACATATAGAAAATAAAAAAACCAAAAATACATGCTTCAATCGGAACATAATTATATTATACACACACACTGCATATAGTGCATACATGCACGATGACATAATTTTAAAACTGTTGTTCACTTTTCACTCTCGATATTAGTCATAATCAATCTTGGTCCTATAAATTGACATTTTTCTCAAATTTTGTCCATTTTTATCCGCAACTTGGATAAAAAGTGATAGTATAGAGGATCAATTTTGAGAAAAAATTATCATAACCATAATTGAAAAAAGTGTCAATTTGTAGGATGAAGATTGACGAGGGTCAATATCGAAGACCAATAGTGAAAAGTGGACAATATAGAAGACTGATTTTGAAATTATGTCCCGTTCCTATCTATTTATCAATTAATTAACCCCAAAAGCAACCGCCAAATACAACTCAACACCCGCCTCCACCGCCACCTCCACAACCACCCCCACCACCACCACCGCCACAACCACCGCCACCTCCACCACCATCGCCACCGCCACAGCCACCACCACAACCGCCGCCGCCACCACCGCCACCTCCGTCCATATTACTCCGATTCTTGCGACTCGATCCATCGTCTGCACACACTAAGATAAGCAAAGACATGACAGAGATCGACAGAACAATCATGCCGAGCATGTACACAAGTCCCGACCCCTCAAGGACTCGGCCCATCTCACTAATTACAGTCTCATTCTCACCGTTCCCTACAAGAGCTAAAACGCCCCTCGCCATTTTCGAAACTTGATAATTAAGGCTGGAGATGATATTTTTAGACCTTGTAAACTCGCTCTAAGCTGCCTCACAACATGCTAGGACAGCTTTTATAACATGCAGTTACTTGATTAGTTGTCTTTCCTCAAGTGGTCCTGATATAGTATCCAATAAGCTAAGCCCTCTTATTCTGATCACTGAATTTTCTGCATTGATTTTTCTATGTTAGAAGTTTGTATGATATTTTTGTAGAATTAAATGTAACGTTGACCACTCGATATTTTAGTCAACTAATAACACCCATGCGTTGCGCGGAATCTACAAATGCATATTTGTCATATCATATGATATAAACCTACAAAAAGCATGTAATTAGAAATATATATTATTATTTATTAACTACCAAGAAAATTACAGCATCCTATTACGTATTAATTGTGATTTTTTTAGATTTTTTTTTTTTTTTTTTGNGTCATATCATATAATATAAACCTTCAAAAAGCATGTAATAAATATATATTATCAACTCATACAATGCTCCCAAATCCACAACTTACATTCTTTTTGTTAGTAATTCCATCCGAAGAAATCGATTGAATTGATGTATGCTACGATCCTGTTTATTAAATTTCATTCAAGTCAATATAAAATTATTTTATGGTATAAGTTTCTCATTTTAACTTTTATATATAGTTAAGTTTTAATAAATCTTCTCTAGAACATACATAGTTGCATGATGCTAATGACTTCACTTTAAACTTTTTTGGACATAATTTCATTTCCAGTCCACTATATTAGCCTATTTCCAGTAAAGGTCCACATTTTTTGCAGACATCACATACTTACATTAAATTTGAAAAAATCATCAAACAAGGTACCCTAATCATTAGTGATAGGAAAAATTTGTTATTTCCTATTAGGCCTAATTTGAACGCAAGCCGATGTCCATTTCAAGTGGGCAACCCACCGTTGGATTTTTCTCCTCGACACAGTCGTACCGTAAACTTTTAGCTCAATAATAGTTCATTTGCCCACTCAATTTTTCATCTGAAAAAAATTGGGTTATTTTATATCTGGTTTAATTTTGACACAATCAACAATCCGATTTAGGTGGATGAAACACCATTGGATTCTTCTTGTCGAACCAGTCGTACCTACCAAAATTGATCTCAATTGGAGCTCGTTTGTCTGCTCAATTTGTCATCCAAAATAATTTTAGCCCAGATTCGTTGTTCTCTATAGGGAAATTTTGGTGCCTTATAGAGTAAGTTTAGTGGAGTGGCTTACCATTGGATTTATCTCATCAGGACAGTCGTAACCACAAATTTGTAGCTCAATTAGATTTTGTTTGCCTACTAATTTTTCATTCAAACTAAACTGAGTTGTTATATCTCTGGCCTAATTCTAGTGTCGTCTCAGGTCATTTTCAATTATGTTATCTACTGTTGAATTCTTCTTGTTGAGACGGTCATATACCCAATATTTCAGACCAATTGCAGTTCTTTTGCTTAGTTAATTGTCCGTCTAAAATTATATTCACAAACTACATTTTCAGCCTATGATTGGCCTAAAATTATATTCACAAACTACATTTTCAGCCTATGATTGGCCTGTGATCAGCTTGTGCCGAGTCCGCGATAAATTTAAATAATCTGACCTTTATCCTGTCACTAATGATTTTTTTGTCAAACGACAATTGTATTAATAATTGAAAATTCAATAGAGTACAAACGAGGTGTCAACGAACGCCACTGGAACTAGTACAAAGCCTGGACTAACCCTTCTTAAATCTACACAAGCAACCAAGGGGGAGGAACTCCCTCAAGGAGATACACACAACTACAAAATATAACTTCATAAAGGAGATTCCAACTCCATATAGAAGACTAGGTGTCAGACGCTGCTGAACTTAACAAAACATGAAAAAAAAGGAAAACAAAAGAAAAAACAACACACACCTAAAAATACTATAAAAATAAGACTTCCCCTAAACCTCGCCGGCAAACTAAACGACCACCGTAACTACCAACCGAGCCAAACAACGCAACCCAAAATATCTAACATATTAGTAAATCTAGTCCCCAAACCCAAAAATTACGGCTAAACTCGACTGTCTAGACAGATCTGACGAGGAGTTAAATCTCAGACCAGATCTGGGCTCTAAAGATTTAACACCGGGGGAGGGAGGGGAGCCATCACGAAATGCCGGAAGGCTCAGAAAGATACCATGGGCCTCCTAGGCTGCAAGCAGTCTCGCAGAAGTTTCACCATGGGCGTTGGGTTTGGAAGGCGTGAGAGCCAAGGACTCCGACAAAACGACGACCACTCGAAGCTGGAGGCTGGACGTGGTGGACAAGCGACCTCGACCGGAGCTGAGGAGATAGGCAGAGTAATAACCTAGCTCCAACCATGTCTCTCGAAAATCTCTGGACGGGGCTGAAATGGTGCCTCCAGTCGCGGCTCATTCATGGCCGGCTCGGAGGACGGCAGGCTGGCCGACCGGAAGAGGGGGAGCACGACGGGATGGCGACGAGGGTTTTTTTTATGAAAGAGGGCTTCCTCGAGAGAGGGCTCTTGCCACTCCTGTGATTATTGTACCTTAGTTGATGAATTTTTTAAATTAATGTATTAAATTTGATATTTGCACAAAAAACATGGACATTTGCTGGAAATAGGCCAATATAGTAAACTAAAAATGAAATCATGCCATTCTTTTAAATATGATGTGTGATATTACAAGATTTGGGACATCTTGAATGTTCATAACAAAAATACAGCTACTCACAACACATATATCATCATGTTCTTTCAAATCACACATCTTGAAAGTTAACATTAATAATAAAATGAAACAACCTTCAAGAGCTACGTATATATATTACACACAACGTATATATAAATGTTCGCTTAATAATTTAATTAATCCCAAAAGCAACCACAAGTTCCACCTCAACACCCGCCGCCTCCACCGCCACAGCCGCCACCTCCACCGCCACAGCCGCCGCCGCCGCCACCACCTCCAGCAACACCTCCATATCTCCTCCGACGCTTGCCACCGGATCCACTATCCGCACACGCTAAGATGAGAACAGACATGACCGAAATCGACAAAACAATCATGCCAAGCATGTAAACGAGTCCCGAGCCCTCGAGAATTCGGCCTATCTCAAATGCCACCTCGTTCTCACCATTCGCTACACGAGCTAAAACTCCCCTCACCATTTTTTGATCTTAAATTCCCAAGATAATATTATTATTGAGATATATGCTCACGCTTGTAGTAGTGAAGCTCTAATGAGCCTTATAACTTGCTAGGCTAGCTTATATATCGTTTCATGTGTGGATTACGATTTGGAGGTCAACCTTTATAACTTGCTAGGCTTGTCTAATACTGAATTTTCCATGAATATTTTTCCATGGTAGAAGTTTGTTGGAAACTTCTGTAGAATTTACGTAACACTTAATAATAATTATATTAACCATTCAAATTTCAAACGCCGTGAAGACTGGGACTTGGTAAGAAGTCAGCTATTATAATAATAAAACAATAAGTTTTGTCTTTGTGTAATTCAACAGGATAATTTATGCACAAATTGGACACGTAATTCTATGACCAATTGCATATAGTTATAAGTAATGTGATAAGTAAATTTGATATGCGACATAATTTGTCCTTTTAAAAAATAAAAATGTTTAGTTGTCTAAATCATAGAGAACAGTCAAAAGATATCCCTACATTATACTCATAAACAGAGCCGGCCCTGCGGGCGGCCGCCAGGGCCAAAAATTTTGAGAGCACCAATTATTAGAATGTTTTAAAGGAAATAAAAAAAAAAGCATTTAAGTATAATTGTTTATTAAAATGAGTTAATTTTTTTTCTTAATTTTCAAACACCTAAATATAGTTTTCTTTTTTATTTGAAGTTCTAATGATGATATTAATATATAATAATTGATAATTAACCTAAGTATTTTTTTATATATTTTATTTTCTCATTTTTTCATGTGATCGGTAAAAATGTTTTTTAACTTTTTACTTGAATATGAAAAATTTTACTTGTGTGCATATAATTCAATCATATAAGTGATAGTCATTATAAGGTATCGGGTTATCCATTATAAATGTGAGTTTCATTTGTTGTTTATTTGATTATTATATATATATTTGAAAATTTAATATTAGTATTTTTGCAACAAAAAAAGTTGACTATTCAAGATTACAATAAAATTAAACATATGGTTAATGCGAAAAAGACTTTAAAATATGTTTTATTTTGTCGTCTTTTTTCTTATACAAAGACTGAACATGATTTATTCATTTACTTGTTGTAATTTTTTTTAATAAAATTTTACACTTTTGTTATAATCTTCATTATATCTTTTATAATACGATAAATTGTTTGTAATTTTTTTTAATAAAAATAAGATGGGCATTATTTATTCATTTGGCCCAGGGCGTATAAATATTTAGGACCGGCTCTGCTCATAAACCGAATCAAGGGAGAAGCTCCCAAGAAACTTCGTGCAAGTAGATATTCGTTTACAATAAAGTTGACCATTTTCATGAGAAAAGCTGATATTTTTAACACTTGTGTTGTTATATAAATTATTAACTTTTTTAAGTCCTCTTGAGTAAAACACAACCATGGCACTCTTCGTCGAATTTGCAGCGAATTATCTTACACTTTTCCTTTTTCTTTTTCTCTTTTTGAGAAACACTTGGGGACCATTTCTGGTTAAGTTTTGGGCAATGAGAATCCATGTATTGGGATGAGTGGTTCTTATATTTACTATTATATTTGTTTGCACTAATACTATGTGTTAAGGATGATATAATAGTACTAGCATACGCCCTAAGTGAAAAAATGAGTAAATTTAGTCGCCTTTTTTTAAAATGAAATCAAGAGATCATCTCACAAAATAAGTAAGATCAACGAACAAAGTTTTTTACTTGGTTGGAATAGAAAAAAAAAATTTAAAATTATTACTAATATTCACTTTCAATTTCAGCCAACAAATTTTTATAAGTTCCCTGCACTTAATGCATGTTCGATAACATTATGACTTCCTATTATTTACACCGACTTCTTCCCAATGACTTATGCTCATCATCGGAAGTCGGAACATAATTGGTTGTTCGTTTTAAATTCCTGTTCCGATTTAAAAACATTGCCGGGTAGATTCAAAAAGAAAAGAGCTGGAACATAATTGATTGTTCATTATAAATTCCTGTTCCAATTTAAAAACATTGCCAGGTAGATTCATAAAGAAGAGAGCGGAACCAAACCGAATTTTTCTTACAAAATAAGATCCATAAACACATTCCTATATAAGTATTTGGCTTCCCAAAACTGAATTCAATATATGAGTTACCAACAAACAAGCGCGATGAGCTTACATTGAGAATGTAATGAAAATTGAAAAGTCCCTCAATATCCATAATATGTACCTTTTTAGCATATTTCATTGTTGGGTATGTCAAGAACAGAGGTACAATAATGATAAACAAAAGAATTGAAAACAAAAGAACGGCCACCTTGCAATGAGAATACTATCAAGACCACTCAAAAGACACGCGTCTAACGAATCAATTTTCCGACTTTCAGCTACAACAAGCTCCTCCTTGTGAGACGGCACCATCTCTTCCAGATGAAGTTCCCGGAATACCCCCATATCCTACTTTGATTCCATACGACTGCAGAAAGAAAAATAAAATTATATTTAATGTGCATACAAGTAGAAAAAAATGTTTTCATTAAACAGAACATATGAGAAAACAGTTCAAAAAGATTAATCATAAATCAAGAAAATACCTCATTAGACACGTCGAAAGCTCCATCCTGAATCTTCTTGTAAATTGTTGAGGCAGTATTTATGAATGCCTGAGAGAATGAGAGTTCATAAAACACTAAACAAAATGATATACCTCCTAAACAAAAGTCGAGATATCTATAATGCAGGGAATTGATTGACGATCAATGAGAGGATTTCATACCTCCTCCACATTCTGAGCTGTTTTGGCGGACGCCTCCATAAATATCAATCCATTCTCCTTTGCGAATTGTTTTCCTTCCTCAGTGCTTACAGCTCTTCTGTGAGCCAGATCACTCTTATTACCTATCAGCATTATGGTCATGTTTGCATTTGCATGCTGCCTAGCATCCTCCAACCAACTGGCAAGGTGGTTAAAAGTTTCCCTCCTGAGGAGTACAAAATTCAGATTATCCAATCCATCAGCTCAACATTTGTAGAAAATAAATGGAAACACAAAAAAAATCTTCCTGAGGTTTGCACTTTCTTCATGGATGTCCCTTATTAAGCGTGCGGTTTGTGGAATACAAATAATATTAAGGCAGTATTTGTAATTTTGAAAGATATGTAAATATAACAACGTGGTTAGCCATAATTTTCACTGTGATGAAGAATTGACCGCCCACACGTACTAGACCGAACTACTGTTGGTCTCCAGGGGGCAGGGATCACTAGAGAAATTTGAAGTTGAAAGAATCACAGAAAGTCTACTATCTACTATTGTATGCAAACAGAATTAACACCTTGTGATGTCATACACCAGCAGGGCCCCAGCAGCACCTCTGTAGTAAGACCTTGTAATGGACCTGAATGACTCTTGCCCAGCCTGAAATGATTAGCAACGGAGTCAGATGTCAATTTGTAATCAATAATTTTTAGAATAGGAGATCACATAGGGGAAAATTGATTTAGAGAAATGAGAACAAAAAAATCAAGAAAATAGTAAAGTACCAAGAGACTACTACGGGAGACCAACTTTAAGATATAAATTTAGCTATTTGAAAACACAAGGTACATAAAAGGATTGTATGTTAAAAAAAAATGAAAAGATGGCAAAAGAAGGTAAAAAGAGAAAGGTTGGAAGAAAAACCGTGTCCCAAATTTGGAGCTTTATTGGTCTATTGTCGATTGTAATCATTCTGGCTCCAAACTCAACACCAATGGTCAAGTCATGCACTGGCTGAAAGCGTTTGTCAGTGAACTGCAGAAGCAGACATGACTTCCCAACACCTGAAGGTATTTCAGAATTCGTGAGTTTTGCAATTATCTTAACCATTTAATATTTCGCTAAAGCAAGATTAGTTGGTGTCTATTTCTTCATATCTCACAAAGAATCCATTTATAGCTTACAGAAACTAAATGAATATGGCTGCATCCGAAAATCTCAAATTACAAGATTAATCGTATCTATCTCTAGCATACCTCACAAAGACAATCCATTTATAGCTTACATAAACTAAAAGATTGTGGCTGCATCAGAAAATCTCTGAGTACAAGATTAATCATGTCTATCTCTTTGGTTGATTTATCATTATTCTTTACGCTTGCACAAAGTGATGAACATTTATTAAGCCTTCAATTGAAACGGGTAAGGTGCAACCCAACTGCCAAGAACAGCCCTTGATTCACATCAAAGGTAGCTTGCATTTCAAAGGTCCTATGATCTCTTATGCACAATAAAAATAAGCCCACCATAAAATTTCCAAACGATCAAGCCCCAATTAATCACACAGCAAAGCTCAACAACGCAATGGAGCCCCTTTCTCAGAAAACAATCCAATTCAAAGCCCACAACATCAGTACATCCAAAAGGAAATTCATAGCAACAACCACGAAATGAAAACAAACAAATAAATTGATCAATTTACCTGTGTCACCGATGATAATGTACTTGAAGAGGTAAGCGTACGACATGATTTCCTCGGATCAAACACCACAAGAGATGTCAAAAAACAAGAGGATCCGAGAAATCACACACGAATAAATGGAATTAAATCGATTGATTGTTAATTAATGGATAATAGAAAAATGAGATTGAATTAATTCGTAGAAAGAAGTGGAGAGAAATTATTCTTCCCTCTTTTTCCTTCTTTCCGGAGGGAGAGAGGAAAGGCCAATCTGTAAAGAGAATTTCAACGTGTGAAATAAAAGGGTGAGAAGACGAGTTGTGGGTTATTCCGTATAATGAGGAATTCTCAAAGAAATTTTTTCATTTTTTTATGGAATACAATTTGCTTGTTAATGAAGTTACGAAATTCTGTATATTTGGTTGTTTAATAAAATAGTAAAAATAATACTAGTATCAATTTATACTAGTAGCATTACATCCGTTTATTAATTAAGAAATTAATTTAAAAACTTTAAGAAAATAAAAGTTTTATTTTAGGTTGTCAAACTTTTTTAAATCATTATAATTATAATTATTATTATTATTATATAAAATGTACACATCAGGGACTCGCTTGTGAAAACATATATAGTTATTATTTTTTATTTTATACATACATATACTAAATCGAAAATTATATTTCTACTTTGAGTTTCAATGATACGCCTAAAACCATAAGATAATAAGTTTAATATATTATATATGAAAAACTTACTACATATAAAAAAAATTATTAAATTTTAAAACATAGTTATAATATAAGTTAGTCAATTTTTTTATAATTTAAAATATTTTTATAGGTACAATAAAAGTCTAAAATTAGATGAATTGTTTATTTGAACTATTCAAAAGGAAATTTATTCATGAGATTGTTAAGTATATCAAAATTTGATACATAAAATTACTAATTATAGTACGAAGTATAAGACATTCATGCTACAAAAACTTAGGAGGTTATATAGAAGGTGATGTGAACGTAACCAAGGATAACATATGGAGAACCTGTTTATGTTCAATTTCATGTGGTGAGAAGAACGCTTGATAAACTTGCAAAGTGTCGGAATCTTCACAGTGCAAAACCTTCAACGATCAAACCAATAAAGAGATATCTCTTTCTAAAAACCAAGTAGCCAAAATTCAAATTGTACGTGCATACCTTCACCGCTTTTGACCTTAATACTCCTACAATTGAGCTTTAATCTCGGAATGAATCCCAAGATTGGGGAGGTTGAATTCTCTCACATCTCAATGATATGCTTAATCTACAATATAGAATTCTCTCCAACGGTTTCAGGATTAATTGGTAGTGATATAATTGGTTGGAAGACTTATATCAACACCTGGGAACATCTTTCCAACATCTCAAAGATATGGTACAGCGCCCAAATCATAAACCTCCAAACCCTACTTTTGAGCTACCATCATGCCACATATTCTTTTATCAGACTTGTCCCTAGTGTTGCTTGAGTAGAGCTTCGTTTTGCTTACACACACCAAATTTCTCGAGTTGATATAAGATGCTATATCAAGAATGATTTATACCAAAGCCTTATGGACATTAAGTGTCATCATGTTCTAGCTAGGTTAGCGTTTGAATTAACTTCATAATGAGGTAAATTATCAGTCCCATCTTATAGCTCAAGTGGGCGAGAGTATATGTAAGAAACGAGGGTAAAATGAGTGCGGTCCCACGCAAATGAAGGGGACTAACAGAGAAAGCCCAGATGAAGTTCAAGTGGGGTTCCATCCCAATGGAAGGAAGAGTAGCCCATTAGACTTATAAATTGACTTATTTTCCCTATATAAACGATGTGGGACAACTCACAAGTGATATTCTAACACGCCCCTCACTTGTGAGTCCTTCATAAAAAGCCCAAGTCCATTTACAAAGCCGGGTGCCCAAGACCTACTAGAAACGGGTACGTTATCGCACGGTCCCACATAGAACCGACTCTGGTACCATATAAGAAACGGGGGTAAAACGAGTGCGATCCTACGCAGATGAAGTGCACTAACAGGGAAAGCCCAGATGAAGTCCAAGTGGGGTTCCATTCCAAAACCAATTGGTGGAAGCCCATTAGACTTATAAATTAGGCTTATTTTCCCTATATAAACGATGTGAGACAACTCACAAGTGATTTTCTAACAGTATAAATTGGTACATGGATTTTAGAATTACAAAATACTATAATTTAAACTAGTACTATGACACGGATGCTACTTAAAAATTTATACTTAAATTAAAAAAATAAAATAAAAAAATAAGTGTTTGTTTATATTTAAATCTTAAATACATTTTTCAGTTTTTATCATTATAATGTATATTTTAAATATCTATATTCACTTGTATGATTTATCCATTATATGTTATAGTAATTTTTTCTACCTTATACCATATAATAACTTTATCGATATTTTTAACTGATACGTAATTATATTTTTGACATTAGCACTGATAGATTATTTGATTTTATAATAAAAGTAATAAAAGTATTTATTTATTATAATATTGAATATGAATGTCAAATCAAAGCTCGTAAACGATTAATTGATACATCATATTCATATATGAAAAACTTATAACAAATACAAAAGTTATTAACTTTTAAAACATATTTATAATTATAAAATCCTAACAGGTATGAATAGAAATTCTAATCTACACAGGACTACTCGAAAACACTAGACTCGAAACCTCTGCATTCACAGAATTTTTTTTATTATTTTATAAAAATTATCCTTTTTAAGTGTCAAATATAATAGATTTATTAATAAGTTGTTTCTCTAAAAAAATCAATTCCATATAAATAAATGATAGAGACTTTTGGAGAAGTCCATTTTGAATAAGTCTATTTCTTGAATAAATTTTTCTAAAAGTGCTTCCAAACAAACGCGTAAACTTCTTTGAAATGTACTTTTCGTGAGAATTATTTTTTTAAAGTCATATTTTATTAATTACATCAAATCTCCCTATATATAATTTTAGAATGCGCTGAGTTTAAGTGACATTTTACTCACTCTTCGAAATTCTACCTAGCGAAAGATCATGCTTCGTAATTTGATCGTATAAAAATTATTATTATTCTAAATTAATAATTTTAGGTTCGACATTATATATATATTAAAAAGCTTATTTGACTAATATAACCTCTGTAATCTTACTTAGTGGTATTGAGTGACTAATATTGCCTGTCAATCGGCCAGTATCTATTTTCCAATTGAATGTTACAGAAAAAATGAACGCACAGCCTCTGCGGCTCCGCCGGTCGTCCGAAGAAACCATTGCCTCTACTCTTCATCACTCTCTACGCCGAAACCATTCTCCAGCAGTCGGCGCTTCGTCTTTCTCTTCGCGTTAATTCCACCTGCATCTACTCTTCCGAAGCTTCCATCCCGCCGCCGGAAAAGCCCCAAATATAGGTAATCTGTCGGAGTCCTGAACTTTGTCGAGTACCTGTATGTTTTTTTTTGTTAATTGGGCGATAGAACGAATTAGGCGATAGAACGAATTTGTTCGACAATTTTTTTTTGATTACCTGAATCTTTTTTTTTTTTTTGTTAATTGGGTGATATAGCGAATTTGTACTTTTTGCTCTATTTCTGAAAAAGAACATGATTTAGCCGTAATCTGTTCTTTTCGATTATATGTTAATTGGGTGATATAACGAATCTGATAATTGAGTGAGATAACGAAGCATGAATTTTCGATTACATGTATGATGATAATTTCTGAATATTAATGATTTTAAATGAGCTATTGATTTAGCCGTAATCTGATATTTTAGCTTGTATTTGTTGTTTTGTATAGATGAAACTTGCATATTTCTTAAGATAAGATGAAACTTGCATATTTTTATTATGCATTCACGTGGTGTTTATTGTCTTCTGGAGATGACACACACACACAAACACTTAGCAACCTTGCCATGAAATTCAGCCTTGACTATGGTGAATAAAACTTTCTTTTTATTGTCTTTTTCCATAAATATTATTGACATTACGAAAATTATTTTAATGAAAGTGTTTTGTATTTCTTAAGATTAATATGCCAAATCAACCACAGTGAATCTACAGTATCTCAACATTTTTGGAATAACATAGTCACTATTGAAGGTATGCAATTTTTCTAAATAGGCATCATGCTTATCAATTACCAATGTATGCATATTGAGAAAATTTCATCTAATTATATTATAATTTCCATAAATTATTTTTAGAACTAATAACGTTGTATACCGAGAAATTTTTCAAAATTTGAAATAATATTACGACGTATGCTTTTTTCGAAACATGATTTCTTTTAATCAGCCGTGTAGTACTCGGGTCGGGTCCCGGCTTTAGCAAAGTGGTAACACCTAAAACTAGAAAGCACAGACGACATCGTTTGTTCTACCATCTGTCTCAGATCGCCTCCTCTCTCACTCGCCATAGCTTCCCAGTAAGCACCTCTAATTCCTGCATGCAATTTGTAGGTTTTATCTACCGGATAGTGGTTGGATTGCATGGTTTTCGAGGGGGATTTCTTTAGCTGTTTTTCTCAAATTTTTTGTGAGTTCAATCGTTTAGAGACGTCTATTATTCTCCGAGGATTGACGTAACTGAAACGAACACGACAAAATTGCGCGCTTGTTTGGACCATGGCAAAGTTTTCAAGATTTTCCTAATTTTCTTGATTTTGTCCAATTTTCTAGAGAGATGTTCTTATGCATTTACTTATTCATTGTTCTTTACAGTAAGAAATTACTGCAATCACTTAATCGTAGTTGAAGGTATGGCCAAAGCAAGAGAGAGAACTGAGGATTTTAGGGATGCCGTGCGTCGAGCAGCACTGAATTTGGGATACAGTGAGGTGCTTCTTCTTGTCTCTTTCGTCACATTTCAGTACATGATGTTTGTGATCGGTGGTTATTAATCTTTCAATTCCTGAAGAAATTTATGCAGATACCCATTGACAGTAATTTGATCTAGTTGATTTTTTTTTTTTTTTTTCAATTTTATTAATTTCTGAAGTCAATGGCTTATTCTCTCTCTGAATTGCTGCTTTCCGTTTTTGGCAGTCCAAAACCGCAGCAGTGATGGCTTCTTTTATCATGCATAAAAGTAGGAAAAGATCGTCCTTCAGCAAAGCTGCATTAACAACGGTATGGTCATTTTCACATGCGGCTTCAGTGTAGGACTTGTTTTATCTGCACATTAGTGTGTGATGCTTTTTATTTGAGTTGATATTTACCACGTTTATCTGCCAGCTTGACAGTATTGGAGCTTTAGAGAATTTCCTCATGAAGCATAAGAAGGATTATGTAGATTTACACCGTACCACTGAACAAGAGAGGGATAGCATTGAGCATGAGGTGAAATATTTCCTTCATTACTTTGCTATACTAGAACAAACGTCATGCGGTTTGCTTATTAAAAGGTTAAATTTTTCAGTTTAAGGTTCCTGCAATCTACCTAATTATTGTGGCCCCATTACTTCTGATTTGTGTTTCAGTTGCAGTTGTACTTTCTTTGTGAATATACGCAGTAAAAATCCATGCTTTTGATGGTTAATCTGGAGTGGTCATGCCTCTTCTTATGTGATATAGTGTTTCTTAAATATTGCTACCATTTCTAGTTTCTAGTGATTATATTTGTGCCCTAGACGTTTATATGTAAATATAAGATTTGGTTTTCCTTTTGAAAGCTGTTCTTCAAAGCAAGTGGTCTTTTTATTAAGAAATATATCATTTTTCTACCCTATGTTATACTCTTCTCCCTCAGTTTATTACTTACCACACTATGTATGTATAGGTCCAGTACATGGTTGAGAAGCAATGTATGCTACTTGGTAGAACGTGTTTGCAATGTTTTTGTTGGTCTTTCTTTTCTTTTTTTCCGATCGTATCACTATATGTCTGAGTTTAGGACTTAGCCGAGCAAAAGGTTATAAGTAGTTTTGGGTTATTGAATTTTCCTTTTGGGTTGTCATAAGTAAAGTCTGTTCTTATCTTCTTTGAATGGTTTAAGATCCAACTTGATAATTTTCAAGTTGTAGATTTACGAATATCTATTATCATTTTGTGCCATTATCATCGAGGATTGATCTCTTGAAATCATTGTGGAAGGAAAATGAAATAAGTGAATCCATAGGAACTTTGGAGGATTTAACAGTCTGTTTCGAAGTATTTGAAAATATTAGTAATTATGTTGCAGCACGTATCCTCGATTGGATTCCAATCTCTTTACTGTCACTTGCAGTTTCTTTTCAACTTTAGTAGTGGAATCTAGTGCACCTGAAATTTCACGTGCAGCAAGTCTCATCTTGTGCATTTCTCGGAATATCCACCCCTTTTACATCTGTTGTGTAGTATATTGAGTTCACTGATAGCACTGATACATTATGGATGAGGATAATGGAGCGTGTATTTGTACTTTAAAACTAGATTGAGATGTAATGCTTCAACTGGCTCCACGGAAGTTAGTTCTTTGAAATGCTGGATCCGAGGCACCAAGAGGGAGAATTTTGTTATTTTCACACTGTATATGGTTGTTGTGTATAGATGGCTAGTTTGCTGCCAAATGCTGATGTTTTAAGTGACCATAGCATCATGTTACTACTTACTTCTTGACGATCTTTACATTTCGCAGGTTACAGTTTTTATCAAAACATGCAAGGATCAAATAGATGTTCTCAAAAATAGTATAAATGACGAGGAGGCAAATTCAAAGGGATGGCTTGGTCTAAGAAATGACAATATGAATGCTGATACTGTAGCACATAAACATGGAGTGGTATGAATTATGGTACATGAGTTGATTGACAATTTCGCACAATAACTATGTTGCAGCTGTTTAGTTTGTTGTTGCCTGATTCCGACTATTTGTATTCCTGTCTGATATGTTGTACATGAAGGAGTGAGGACATCTTGTCATTCTGTATCCAATCTAGCATTAGATAAGCTCAGTTAGAATCTTACAATTTAATAACATATTGTTCATGGTTTGGTGCAGCCAAATCATACCTGCAGATGCTGTTTACCTCTAGGTTTATGAATTATTAGGAATTAAATGCATGCCTAAGATATTATCTTAAAGTCATTAGGGCTCAAGTTATAATTGAGCAATTGCAAAAACTACCAAACCTAATACAAAAAACTGAAGTTCGGTTCAAAATTACAAATGCTCCCTTAAAAGTGTTATGAACACTCAACAAATGAATATCTTCTTGTAAGGAGGATTCTAGTAATTTGGAATATATTTTTTTCCGAATTTTGAAAAACTGTTATTCGATCTTTTTGGATTTTACGTAAAAGTGAAGTACATGTTGTACCATTGCAGGTCCTGATTCTAAGTGAAAAGCTTCATTCGGTGACATCACAGTTTGATCAGCTTAGAGCTATACGCTTCCAGGATGCTATCAACAGGGTGGCCCCACAAAGAAAACCTAAGCAGAAACGCACTTCAGATTTTTCCGGAAATTCAGCTTCTGGAAATGCGGATCTCGATGAAGCAAACAGTTCGAGAGTCGGGCAGACGGATAATGTCCAAGCAGAGCCAATCAAATTCCAGCAGCAGCTGTTGGATGACGAGACTCGAGCCCTTCAGGTGGAGCTGTCGAGCATGTTGGATGCCGTTCAAGGGACTGAGACAAAGATGGTCGAGATGTCTGCCCTCAACCATCTCATGTCGACTCATGTCCTGCAGCAAGCGCAGCAAATCGAGTATTTATACGAGCAGGTCAGCCTTGTTTTTTCTGTTTTGAAGAAATTCGGTCTTCAGTTGGATTTGCAAAAGAGCCAAAAGCTCAGAAGAATGAGAAATTGTCTCGTCGAGGTTAAAAATAGTTGTTAATGTTCGTTTATTTAATTTGTTGTTCGCATTTGGATTTAACAGGCTGTTGAAGCAACAAAGAATGTGGAGCTGGGTAATAAAGAGTTGTCGCAAGCAATTCAACGGAATAGCAGTAGCAGAACCTTTCTCTTGCTATTTTTATTTGTCTTGACATTTTCGATTATCTTTCTTGATTGGTACAATTAAATACATGTTATATGAGAAAGAAACCCAGGTGGGGAAATATATCGGCTCAGGTTTTACCCATAAAATCTGGTAGTTGCAATTTGCGACTGAGTTCTTGTTCTGCGTAATATATGTCGAACCTTTGTCTACCAAACGAATCACTACATGGGTTGCTAGAGCTATAAATGGTGTAGGTATTGACACTAATAATATGTAGGACTACATTTGAGATGTTTGACTACATTTTCATACTCATTCTTTTGTTAGGCTCTATTGATTATACTTTTCTTATACTAAGTTGAGGATCTCTCTTGCCACATACTGTACTTATTTAGTTATTTTACTTGTGTTGATTTGCTCTCCAAGTATTTGTCGTTTAGCAGTCCTTCCATAATTATCTCGGTAGTTAGAAAAACAACTAACTTAGCTGCTAATGGTTTTTTTCACATGGAAATATGATGAACTACAGATTAGACATCAAACTGGCTTCACATGGAAATATGATGAACAACAGGTGAGACATCAATGGCCAGTTTGAATCGTTGAGCCCATGGCATTCATTACCCTAAATTATATGTTGGGTCATTCTCTCATTTCATACTGTGAAATAATTAGCAGCTTAAATACTTTTAGTTGATGCAAATTTATTTTCTAATATACATGTTTATTTTTGTTAAATATATTATTGTGAATCATACCTTACAATAAAATAAACGAAACGAGCCGAGCGATCTCGAACTCTTTATACTTAGAGCTCGAGCCGTAATCGAGCAAAGCTTGGGTCGTTAGCAAAATGAGCTGTTGAAATGTTCGAGCTTGGCTCATTAATTAATTTATTGGACAGAGTTTGAGTCTTAACGGATTCGAACAATAGAAAATTACATGAAAAATCATATTTTCGAGTGGCTCGGCTCGTTAATTAAATAAACTCGAGCTCTGCTTATTTATCAAATGAGTCTGAGTCGGGCTTGAGATGAGCTAACGGGCGGTTCATTTTGTTGATAGTTCTACTTACAATACGATGACCAAATGTGATATTATAATTAATTAATTACTTATTATGTCACAAGGTCAGTCACTTATTTTTAATTTTCACCTTCAATAGGCACTCATCATAATAAATTTCATCTAAAACAATTCAAAATCATGTGTACCAGAGAGAATGAGATTAGAGAGATTTATATAGTCAATCAATCACAAACAAGACCAAGAAAAATGTAGGATCCAACATATTATCATTACATTTGAGACTCAACTGCAAGAGATGATCATGTAATAGGAGGAGAGGGGCCATGTCTTTATGCTTTCTGAATTCTGCAATCACCACTTAGATTGCCCACAACTAAAAAGTTGCATGACAATATACATTTTCATGGACCAACTGTCTACAAAAGTAATCAATTTATTTGTGCTTTTCTGAGCTGTTTTTATGCCATTGGTGCTAGAGGACACCCCCCAAGATAACATATCATAAGTTAAACTACATGTGGAGAGAATTTTAATATTCAAGATCACAACAAAATTTAACATACATACATTATATTGATTTTGTAGTTCTCACTTCCCATCACACAAAATATAAATATATTTATAATAATATGACTCTTAATATGGAAAGTAAATCTATATATCAGATTGAAATTTAACAGGGCTGGTAAAAAAATATTTATTTCATCAATTTAAAATTTCTAAAAGTGTATATGACTACCTTTACAGCAGAAGCAATTGTTATTGTACCTTGTAGTGGGACTAGTAAAATAGCAGAAGATAATGCTGCTCAGCATAAGGTCTTGCAGACCACTACCACACCCAAAAATTTCTCACCTCGTAAAATAATTACATTCTGACCAAAGCTCCAACTCGAAAAATCTACATTTCCCCCAATTAAAGCCTGTCAAAATGACCCCAC